GGATATAGTGAATGCAGGGGCCTGGGAGACCGGATATAGTAATGCAGGGGCCTGGGAGACCGGATATAGTGAATGCAGGGTCCGGGGAGACCGGATATAGTGAATGCAGGGTCCGGGGAGACCAGATATAGTGAATGCAGGGTCCTGGGTTTAGTAACACTTTAAGGGTCAGTTCACACTGCACATAGCATGTGATTCACATGGTAATTCCATTCCTGTGCAAACCATATGCAATTTCTGTGCGGTGCAATTTGAGCCATACAAAATCATGCAGGACCCTTTTTTTGTCTGAACCAGAATCGGATTGCATGGGTGTTCACACCCACCGATTCTGCACATCACATCATGTTTTGTGAACCGGCGTCGTTAACATACATACCCACAGCGGTTCACATGAAAAGGGTGCGATTTTGATGTGGTGCGGGAATCGCACAGAAACCGGTGCGAATTCCGTACCGCATCCGTGTGAACCGGTACTAAGTGTGTTTTGTCCTGAAAATATGCGTTTAACAGCTGCACAAATATTGTGTGACCTAAAAATCGCAAAGGCCACCATTTTATTTCCCAGGGACTCTGCTTTCAGAAAATATATAATGTCTGGGGGGGTTCTTGGTAATTTTCTAGCAAAAAATGCCCCAGCCCTTCTCTTTTGTTTACTTCCTGGGGTCCTCCTTTGGGTGTCCATATCACTGCCTGTGTGATGTGGACACTGAGTGTTGGTGAAGGTGACTTTTGTAGTGGCTGGATCCCCTCTCATAGGTTGATGAAGCAGGAGAAGCCACGGAGGGCGATGAGGGGACCGGGGGGGCGATGAGGGGACCGGGGGGCGATGAGGGGACCAGGGACCAAGAGCGAGAACAATGTCTGCTCCCCGGGGCAGGACGTTATCTGGGCTCATAGAGGAAGCTGTGACTTGGATCCATTACACTGAGGGACGGCTTAGGAAGACGGGGCTGAAGTCAGAGGACTGAGGTAACTAACCCACAACACACTTTTTACATTTCATTCTTGTCTGGAGTTTGGCTTTAACAAAATGGCTTCTCTTTGTCCAGATGTATTACAGGTTAGGATTTGTACTGGTATGTGCCATGGTTACCGTTTGAAACATTTTGCTTTTTGACTTTTAGGGCCCATTCACACCGCGCAGCATCCATCGTCCTTCATTGGATTACCATGTTGTATTTGGACTGACAATTTCTCACAAGGGTAAGTCTGCAGCATATTCGGTTGTTTTTCATGCATTTTCAGATTTGAGCATGTTTGTTTTAGCCGGTGGAAAGTTAGAGATATAGTGGTGGATTGGATCCCCTGTCAGGTTTTTATTGCCGTCTGTGTCACCATTAGGGAGATTTACCCTCTCTATTTGTCCTGGTGACTGCTATTATCAAAAGTGAAGGAAAATCCCAAATTTTGGGTTGTCACCACAACAGGAATAGAGAGGAAATCTTCCAATGGGGACACTAGTTCTGGTGACAACCAGGGATTCCCTCACTTTGCAGGGATTTTCTTTCACTTCTTATTTTGGCTGTGGCAGTTATACTTTAAAGTGACACTAAAATATATTCCTATTCGAATTATATCCTAAATAATCCATATGGCTCCAAGCGCAGGTTCACACCATGCCCACATCAGAGTTGCACAGGAACACACGGTGCGTTCCTATGCGATTCACATGCGGCTCTGTACGGTGCGATTTCAAGCCCATTAATTTTAAATGGGCTAAATTGCACCACACCAAAAGTAATGCATGCTCTACTTTATAAAATGCGTTGTAACCGGATGACATGGTACAAAGGTATCCGGTGCGGGCAAACGCACTGCGTTTGGGGTGTCTTGAACTTTTTATTGACACCTGATGCAGATCGCAAAAGCAGTATGTTTTGCTTGTGGGTTGAATCGCACAGGAACGCACAACACGTTCCTGTTTTATTCTGATGCAGGCATGGTGTGAACGGGCCCTATGAACAATTGAATACTGTATGTGATACTTCTTTATTGGCACTAACATTTAATTCTTCAGGACAAGATTTTGGGGTGTGTGCCCGTCTTCCAGGCCCAAGCAGGACTTTTTGCCTTGTCCTGAAAAATTGAAATTTTGCCTTGAAAACATGTTATTGTTTCACCTGTAGGCCTTTTGGGCCCCCAGAAGCCTGGCTAAAAAAACTCCCAGTTATGGGCAGGGAGGCCCACTCCAAAAACACACTAAAGAAACGCATCAAAGCGCCCGACTGTCACCTGCATTTGGGATACTATTAAGAAATAATGCCACTGGAGGTGTGTCACGTGTTTTAGCATCACGTTTTTTTGCACTTTTTTTAGCGAGTTTTTGGAGCTCCACCACTTATTTGAATGCATACTCCCCTCTACTTCAAAAATGCACTAATGAAGCTCAGCAAATTTTGCCACTTAGCTGAGTGCAATTTGCGTGGAAAAATAGGTGACTGCTACCCTTGTTTGGGATGCTATTAAGAACAAATGGCATGAGTGTCATGCGTATTATTTATTTATTACGGGTACTTATATGGCGCTGTCAATTTACACAGCGCTTTACATATATATTGTACATTCATATCAGTCCCTAACCCTCAAGGGGTGTACAATCTAAGGTCCCTAACTTACATTCATACATACACATACTAGGGACAATTTAGACAGGATCCAATTCACCTACCAGCATGTCTATGGAGTGTGGGAGGAAACTGGAGTACCCGGAGGAAACCCTATGCAGGCACAGGGAGAACATGCAAACTCCAGGCAGGTGGTGCCATGGTTGGGATTCGAATCAACGACCCAAGTACTGCCAGGCGGAAGTGCTAACCATTTAGCCACTGTTCTGCCCCAATATTAGCACTTTTGTGCGCATTTCTTCTATACCCAGGTTTGAATGGGACCTAATCCATCTCGGGAGCGAACTAGAGAGGGTGGTTATATTCAAGAAAAGGAATTTAGGGATGTGGAGGAGGCTGAGAACAATAGAAGGGACTTTTTTCAGTTAAGAACACAGTTGAATCATTTTTTTTTTTTTTAAACCAGAGTTTAGTGTCACTTTAAGTTCTCTCACTTCCTGTTGTGCCTATGGGACAGGAAGTGAAGGGAAATCTCCCCACTGGGACACAAATGGCAAAAAAAAAAAACCATGATAGCGCTGAAGTACTGATTATGGCGCATCACACTGTTTTCTTTTTTGTTGGTAGAACTTTATTGAAATGTCATAAGTGACATTTCATTAAAGGATAACTAAAGACAACATCGAAAGTAAAAGAAAATCACACATTTTGGGTTGTCACCATGACAGTAATAGAAGGGAAATCTTCCAATGAGTACATTAGGTCTGCTTACAACCAGGGATTGCCTCACTTTGCAGGAATTTCCTCTCACTTCCTGTTTTGACTATGGGACAGGAAGTGACAGGGAATCTTCCCAATGGGACACAGATGGCAAAAAAAAAATAACTGACGTGCTTTATTTCTCCCTCTTACTCTATCCATAATAAATAAAAAAAAAAGTTTTTGCCTTTAGTTCTACTTTAACTCTTGCATTACTGACCTGGGATAAGCATCCAGATATCCCAGTTTGCACATCAGTGACTTATTTGGCAGAGAGGAGGTCAGGATGGTGGACTTGACAAAAGAATCTTTAAATATCGGTTTTTTGCCTTCCGGGTCCCTCAGAATGTGTGATGTGGATACATTATTGAGAACTGTGTACAGGGGCCCATTCTCTCTCTTTTAAGAGAATAACAAGAGATATCCGCATAACATAGATTGGAGTGCAGCAATAATGTAAGGTTTCAAGGGTTCTGGCCTTGGAAATTGAACCAGCAATTAAGGTACAACGTCAAAAACAATGTGTTTACAACAACATATTGTATACATTTACCAAGCCAGGACCCTGCCAGCATGCTGCAAAGAAAGACCCTTGATATCTGTGTGGAAGCAGTGGTGTCTCTGCAGAGCTTCAACATGCCCCCTGCTGCATCAGAGGTGAGTCCAATCAGCAGGGAGCATGAGCTTTAGTGAACCGAGAGCTATAGGTATGACTCAGCAGGGTGTGTCAGGACCTCTGCAGAGAGACTACTGCTTACCTGCCTTCTCTGCAGCATGCAGTAGACTTTATTACTCTGGCTGTTGCTGCTTTCTAAAGAAGACTTTGCACAACTTTTGTCTTGATGAACCTGGAGTGTTCCTAATTGGGCTTCATGGCTGCCTGCCTGTCTCTGTTGTATTCTATTCTACTAGGAATGTGACACAGATACAAATGCTGCAGTGTCTATGGATCAGCTGGATTATTGCAATCTGTTGGTGCCACCTGGTGGATAAGGAGGGCTATTGCTGTGAGAGGAGAGCCATACAAAGGCTCCCAGCCTCCTCTTGACTATGGTAGTTTCCTGGCTGTCTCTGGTCTTCTGACCTGGAATAAGAATGCAAATCAGGAATTCTGCCTTCACTGGCTGCATGCTGGAATGTTGTATTATGTAATCATTGTTCGTTCCATCTGACATTATTATTGTTGGCAGCCATGTAGCTGATATTACAGATTGGGTCTGTGTGCAGATCTTCCTCATTGTTCTTTCAATTAATTCTATACTTTTATCTTTGTTCAATGGATCTTGCCAGCCATGGAATAAATTCAAGCCAATATGCTGCTGAAATAATATAATCTTTTGGGGATTTCACATTGAATTGTATTATATTATTCACTTTTTATGATGCTAATATATACAGCTGTGCAGCTATAGTCCCATCATATAAGTAGACAATTTCACTTGCAATATAGCTGAGGGTCACCATATACCGGGGCAGACTGACAATTCATGGGGCCCTCCGGGCAATAGGGGATCATGGGGCCCCTGTGTGCTTGCCCAAACTCAAAAAAGCCTATGAAAAAGTTACCATGGGCATCTCATGGGGCACCTACTGACCCCGGGCCCTCGGGCAGTGCCAGAGTTTCCAAATGATCAGTCCACCCCTGTCATATACATTACAATCAACTTTGGATTTATCATCACATCTATGTGATATGAAGGCCTACCCAGGGGCGGACTGACAACTCATGGGGGCCCCGGGCAATAGGGGACCATGGGGCCCCTGTGTCCTTGCCCACACTCTAACCACACCCAAAAAAGCCTATGAAAAAGGTACCAGGGGCATCTCATGGGGCCCCCTTCTGACCCTGGGCCCTCGGGGAGTGCCCGAGTTCCCAAATGGTCAGTCCACCCCTGGGCCTACCTAATCTAACCAAGTATCCAATCAGGCACGCCTTTGCCTGATTTTGGTAGATCTAAAGGGAATTGTACAGTCAGATTGTACTGTGAGCTTTAGATCTACCAACAGCTATGTAGTGTATGAGCCTGCATAATTGGATATTGACTGATAGGATAGAACAGGTAGGTCCTCATATTATATTAGTATATCTGGAGTTAATCGTATAAAGATTTTATGATCGGATTGTAACGTGTATGGTGGCTCTTAGGCTAAATTTACACCTAGCTTCAAAAGCAATCATTTTTTATGGGCATTTTTGAACGCCTGCAAACGTTGTGTGTTGCAGCGACCAATGTTGTTCACACGGTTGTGATTGAGACGTATTGCACCAACATTGACCCAATATGTGTCATTTGGCAAGTTTTACAGCTCCCCAAACAATGAATTGATGTTGATGTAAAGTACACTGCAGTCACATTGCAAATGTGCCACAAGCCCCCCTCATGGAATTTACAGTGTGTTTGAGATGCGTTTAGAAAGTATTACTAGCTGAGATGGTAGCACAAAAATCTGTACAATAGAAAACCAACACAGAGGCGTCTGAAAAGTATTATTTAAATATGACAAAAATACGGTAAAAACGCATCAGATTCGTGACTTCACCCAATAGGTGTGTTAATAGGTGTTCAGATTTCGAAGTATGTCTAAATAAGGCCTCAGGCCCCTTTCACACAGGGTGGACTCAGTCAGGGGTTTGCCTGGTCAGTGGGGGATCTGTCTGCTGATCCCCGCTGAGCAGGCAAATACCTGGCTCATGTCCGCTCTGCTCCTGCAGAGAGGACACACACAGCCTGCTCTCCTCTATAGGCAGTCGGATGTAAATGGACCGCCTGAACGTTTACAATCAACTGCCATCCATTCTGCCTAGATGGAGGGGAACATATCCCTCTCTGTCTGTTTTTAGTGGATTGGATCAGATGTAGGCGGGTGTAAACAGACACATGTCCTTATACACTCACCGCTACATAGAGGAGAATGGAGGGTCCGTCTGAAAAAGTGGACAGGCAGACCAGGTCAGACCGCTAGTGTGAAAGGGGCCTTACAATTACGGCTTTGGCGGCTGCTGGGTCCCCTTGGTGTCTTCCCCTGTGGTCACCAACTGTATGACGTGTTTTTATCATGTCTTTATTTACTCTTCAAATATTACTGTAGACTACCACCGATATCCTGACAAGCTAAACGCCTTGAAGTTGGCTGCCTGCTTCCTTTGTTGAACCCAACACATGCTACATGCATTGATGTATTGAACCAAGGAGGCTCACTGTGATATGTTTTATAATATAAGGCCTCATGCACACAGGACATTTTAAAAATGCTCATCCTCTGAGCAGCACTGTTTTGGCAGAAACAAAACACCTGACGTTTGTCAAAGTGTCTAACGCTTTTGCAAGCATTTAGATGTGTTTACAGGCATCAAGCGCTTGGGTGCTAATTCCTTTCATTAGCCAGAATAATAATTTATTTTGGCCATTGAAATAAATAAATGCTCAACACTAAACGCGCCTAACATTACCACGCATTTAGGCACGTTTACACGTGTCAAGCATTTTTTTCTGCCAAAACACTACTGCTCCTGGACGCACTGTCCAGAGGTTTTATTTCCTGCTGGTAAATACTACTGCTACTAAAAGCTTCTAAAAAGTCTATGTGTGCATGGACACATAGGATAACATGGAGGGCTGTTTGGAAGTAGTGAAAAAAAATGCCTGCTGCCCCTAAAAGAAGCTGCAAAACGCCCTGTGTACATGAGGCCCAGTAAGTGTAGCGCTACCTTCTTGACAGCCGCTGATTTTGTACGCTTGTACGCGGTTTGCCGCTATTACAACCAGGCAAAACGCATTTTTCCAGACACAAGAAACCGTCCATGAGCTTGTTGTTTTTTTTTTTTTTAATTAGGGAATTTAACTTGGATAATTCCTCATGCACACATGACATTTTTACAGTGGCTGTTTTTGGCTTTTGACATTCTTTTCTACTGCTAGTAAACCCCCCAGCATGTTATCCTATGTGTCCATGCACACAAACTGTAAACATCGTTTTTTGGCTGGAAAAAACCCCAGGACTAGTGGGTTTCTAGAGCAGTTTTTAGCTGTAAAAATGCTCTAACGGTGAAAAACTCGACAAAACAAGGTAAAATGCCGCAACCCGGCGGTTTTGGACATTTTTTTTACCCCCCCCCAATTTTTTTTTAAACCGCAAACGCAGGAAAACGCTGCTAAACGCTAATGCAAAAACACTAAAAAACCTTACATTTTTAATGTGACTTTACACAGTGAACGTTACCAGCGTTACTAAAACATCCCCTGTGCATGAGGGCTTATGGGTGCCAAACTTGATTGAAGAATAACAAATGAGGACAATTTCCTTCTCAAACCAACTGTGATCAATCAGCACAATCAGACTCCCACCTAAATCCAGAATACTAATAAATACCTCCTTGTTGCTTACTGAACACAAAAACAGTGGATTCTACCTCACTATCTAAATATATTCACAAATTACTAGTGCAGCGCAACTCTCTAAATTAATAATTGTTAGAAAACTTGAATACTGTGAAAAACATATACCAGTGATAAACTAAAGAGTCCATAAACAATCCCCTCAGTGACGTGGATCACTTCCGTGAATATCTTCTCAAGGCTACGTTCACACTAGCCTTGTTAGTAAGCGTCAGACAGGCGTTTGGGAAGTGTTTTTTACCGTTTCCCAAACGCCTGGGAGAATTCTGCAGATTGCAGCACATGGTGCTGTTCAAACGGGAGTGTTAGCGTTGCGGCAAAACAGACTCCTCTGGTCGAGTCAGGAGGAGTTTAAGCCTCCTATTCAAGTCTATGGTGCCGCTCCGCAAACGGGTCATTTGCGCAGCATTAACACCACTCAAACTTCATTATAGGCATTTGTGGGGCGTTTTTAACGCTTGGCAAAAGGTCTAGCAACCACCGCTAAACCACGCATGCGGCATTTGCGGAGCATTAGAAACTCTCTGCAAACGCCGGACCAACACTTGTCAAACGCTATAGGGGCGTTTGGCAAGAGTTGGAAAAACAGTCAAGTGTGAACGAGCCCTTAGTAATATTCAGTGATCCTCCACCACACCAGGTGAAAAACCTGATCACCTCAAGAAAAGAAAAGAAAATATGCGCTCATCTGGGTGTACTCAACTCCTCAGTCGCAGTGACATATCTTCTTATCTCCTCTCGCCTTCCACTCACTCTGACACCAGGCCAAAACTGATCTCATGCAACAAAAAGTCCGAAATATAGTGCTTTCTGTATAACACTCTATTGTATCCCCCACTAAAATAACACTTACAGATATAAAAGCATAAAAAGCATAAAATATGTAGCCACATCCAGCTCACCGCTCCACTAGCAAGATAGTGGTGGCGTGGTAACACAGTACCGGCCCCTCCTTCATAGACGCATTGCGCCTCCTCTCAGGGCTTCATCAATTGTGACCACAATTCATGAATTTAAACCCACATGCTCTGGAAGCTTTTACCCTTTTCATGACCAGGCCATTTTTTGCCATTTAGCACTGCGCAACTTTAACTGGCAATTGCGTGGTCATGCTACACTGTGCACAAATTAAATTTATATCATTTTCACACAACCAGAGCATTCTTTCGGTGGTATTTAATCACCGCTGGTTTTTTTTTATTTTTTTGTTATTATTTAAACAACAAAAAACATGAAACATTTTGGAAAAAAAAAAAAAAAATTTTTTACTTTCTGCTATGAAACACGTTCAATAAAGAAATTAAAAAAAACACACATTTTTTAATAGATTTAGGAGAAAATGTATTCTGCTACATGTCTTTTGTAAAAAAAAAACAAAAAAATCCCAATATGTGTGTATAGATTGGTTTGCATGAAAGTTATAGAGTCTACAAACTATGGTATATATACTGGAATTTTTATTTATTTTATACTAGTAATGGCAGCGATCAGCGACTCATAGTGGGACTGTGTCAACAGTGCTCTGGGCTGTGATTCGACAGAGATGATCAGCAGGCCATGGATCATTGGCCAGGATCTGCAGACAAACTCCCACTGTGTACAATCAAAGGGGAGTAGGCGGGCAGAGGCATACGCCGACGCCGAAGATCTAGAAACAGGTAGCAACGTAGAGGTATAGATTTTTAAGTACTGCAGCGGGTCAGCAAGTGGTTAATACAGAACTGTATAAATGTTATGTGGCTTCATTATTGTTTTGCATCTTCAACCCTTTTGCGGTCACCGACATATGTCATAAGTCAGCAGCAACAGGGGAATGTCAGCCTGACAAGCCCACTATCCGCTGTCAGAGTTTACAGACTATTGCTGGGGTGGGTGGCTTTGCAACCACTTAGTCGTTCCATTCCCCAGGAGCCTCACATATAAACATGTGTTGGGGACGTCTACACACAAAAACAGCAATTGTGCTGCATATTACATATCACCGCACACACTGGAGGGAGAGCAATATTTGTTTGCCCGTTATTCATGGTTACCTCGAACCTGATGACCTGTTGGGACGTTTTTAGGGTACTAAAGTTTGTTGCCATTTCACTGGAACATGTAATTATAAGATTTGACATGTTTGGCATCTATTTACTCCGCGCAATCTCAGCTTTTATATTTTACCAGAAATGGGTAACATATTCCGTTTGTGTGCCCTAAAAGTAGCATTATGCTCCATATACACTGGGCTTTAAAAAAAACTCCAGTTCTCTTGGCAGAAAAAAAAAACAAAAC